TTTCAGCTGGGTGTGCTGGCTTTAACCTACGTTGTCTTATTATTCCATACCTATTCAATTTACTATCGTTTTTTTAATAATCATAGACCCTACGTGATTTCTTGTCGGCGATATTTAGTAATTTTTGAAAATATTTTTGGGTCAGAGTCATGATCAGATCACGCCGAAGCTTTGACTTATTATCTACGAACTTAAATAGCTTATTCCTCTATATAATGGGGTTGGTTTAACTTTTGAATGGAGGCCTGGTGTTGAATCTCATATCTTAATGTTAATGTCTCTAAGTCACAAAAATGGTCAGATAGCATGATTGATTTACAATTGTCTTCTTTGTCCCGCTGTATTCAGTGCCTGTCTGGCAATCTTACTACTGTAGGTTAAATGTATATACGGGGACCAAGATATTGTGGACACTGTTTTGTTTGCAGTCTCCTTTCGGTATCTAGATGTGGTCTGACGTCGTTTTCGCAACTTGGTCATACTGACAGGGCGACTTAGTTGGACGCACTTTGTCCGAAGTCCTCTGCTATGGCAGTTATATTTTCAGGCGTCAGATCATGAGCTTGGTACATTCTCAGACATTTCGTCTGCATCATCAGTGAGTCTTGCCATTCTCAGCACCAAGCTACAACTCGTCAGAGACAAGTAAAGTAAATTACTTGAGTAAACCTTTTGCAGAAGCAGACGTGTTATCATTAAAAGCATGCACGTGCAATGTCGTCTCAGCTGAATAACACCTAGGCTCCAATTCTCATGCTTGCGGATGTTAGGCCTTAATTTCACGCATCATCTCTTTGATTAAACCCGTGTACTCTGAACAAACGGTTACCTTCTATCTCTGGTTGCCTGATACCTATATAAAGTAGGTAGCTTTAAGCTTTAAGTCTCGAAAACCTACTCACTTACGAAATTAGTTGGGAAGTGTTTTAATTCTGAAATCGCAACTGCCTTTGGAATAATCAGCTTTATTCAGTCTACGCTTTATATTTGTCCTTTGACCCTTTTTTAAGCTGAGTCTAGTTCAGCCTAGGGTTGTTAAATACCATTATTTATCATTAACAGAAGTTCCTTTATATATACCACATGCCGTAAGCAATTCGATTTCTTTTTTCTTATGCTTATATACTTTGCGTTTTATTCCGCCTATCACTTATGGGTATCAACATAACCATCTGGATCTAAAAAAAAACCTTAATTTATTTTTCCTTCACATTCATTATTAATAATTCGGATGCCTTCCCTCTGGCACAGCTTTGTTTTTAAAACAATCATTAGTAAGTAAGTATAAAAATGAACTCTGGTTAAATAGCTGTATTCTTAAACAAGTAAAGATGATCGCTCAAATACCAGCATTCGATTTTATTGGATTTGTTCACTTTTGGCCCTTAATTTTGTTGGCTAGATTATATTTATTCATTCATACTTATTTTTGTTATTCAATTAATCTTTAGAGTATATTGAATCACCAGTTGCTAATAAACCTCATTAAACTACAGATAAATTCTATTTTTTCTCCATAGTTTACTTATTTTATAAATATTATTTTTACTACATAATCTAAGTAACGCTTTTAAAAAAACTAAACTTAGATCCTGGTCATTTTTGTACGAACATCTGCAAGACTGGCACGCACCCTCTATCTGGACCTCCAAAATCTCATCCCTGAATTGTGATTCTCTCTTCTCCACTGGTGATGCCAAACCTGAAAATTACCCTATATATGACTATCAAGAGAAACATTGCACACCCAAACTGAGCGAAATTTCAAAGTTGCCTATTTTGGGCCTGCCAGGACTTGAAAATATTATGAATGTTGCGTTACATCGTGAAGCGAGTACAGACATACGCACAGATGATGAGGATAGTTTTGCGGATGAAGACGAAATGAATGGAGATGAAAAAGTTGATCAAAACGAAAGACTATCTATTGGGAGTAACGAGAATGGTTTACTTACATCCAAATACACTACTCCTGTGGATCTGATTACCCTCGATTCAGATCTTCTTTTGACTGCTGGCCAAATTGCAGAGTCAGCAAGACTTATCGCTTCTTTCTTATCCTGGCGACTCTCCGTTGGTCTTTCCTACCTTCCTCTTCCTCGACTCACGCATGCTTTTGTCTCATGTCTTTTTGAACAGCTCTTATGGTAAGTTTCTACATGGTCCTCTACTTTTATTTGTTTATTTGGCTCATTTATAAATAATTTCTTCACTAGCTTCGCATTTCTATCTCGCTAAAGATTTAATATTACTTTCGCATGTGCGAACACTTTCATCTCTGTTAACATATTATATTCTTCGAATCATTTCTTATTTGTCTTTTTCGTATGTTAAGGCAGGTAGCTGGCTTTCGGCTAAATTTTATCTAGATAACGCTTTATATTGGATTAT